TGGGTATATTTGTACAGAAGACAATATTTGGACTACTCTTTTCTTCTATTTCTTTCTTATATAAAAAAAATTAAAACTCAGCATCATCAATAGATTTGTGATTTCAAAGTCCTTCCCTCCTCAACATTCATTTTGATGACAACAAAGTATCAAAATAAAAATATTACCTCAATGTATATTAGTGATAATTTTTTGCTTCATGAAATTATAATTAACAAAGCATTATGTTGTATGCACCAAGTTTAATTCACAGGAGATAAAGTCCCAGATGTTTGATTTGAGAGCTGCTCCTCTTTGGATAAACTATTAAGTATAGGACATTCTCCATGATTATTATCGTCTATTTGGTGCAGAGACCATTAGGAAAAACAGATGGGAATGTAAGCTTTCTTGCAAGCCATTAAAAGATGCAGAGAAAAGCAAATACATGTTCTATAAAGGGTCCATAATTTTTCTAAAAAATTATGATACCTAAAATCTGCCAAATCTTGAGTTATTGAAAAATATTTATGTGTGTGTGACTTTCTATGCTGATGTATGACTATCAGACTGTCTTCATAGTGCATAGTCTTTGCTAGAAAATATTGTGACAACTGTGTGGTCTCACTTCTCTAAACAAATCTAACAGTGTTTAGTATTTATCTTAAACTCCTTCAGATTAGTGCCGTGCTGAACAAAGCAATACTTTCCAATTACAATTAATGTTGTATTTAAGTAGGCCACAATATTGTGGTTTTGCTCAAAAGATTAGATACACTGCAATTCTTAGACTTTTGCAAGAAGTAGCTCCCACACCTAACCCATTAAACATGTAAAAAATACAATTTCCATTTACTAATTGAGCAGTTATGGTCTCCCTGATATTTATGACTAGTTCCTTTAAGAATCTGTATAAAAATGATACATTTCAGAGGCTGCACAGCAAGCAGACCAATCTGTTGAAAGAAAACCCTAACAACCTGTCAACAGTCACTGGCAAGTGAAAAAATAATGGCAGCAAATACTATAAAAACAGGTCAACTTACTAGCAAAATAGTAGCTGCTACTGATTTGCTAATTATTGATTTTAATAATTGTGTCCTACGTGGAATATGAAACTTTGATGCATTTCTTAGTTGTGAACATTCTTTGTACATGCAATTTTTCTGACAGTCCTTGGTCACTTCTACTTTTGAACAGTCAGACTTCCAACTGTGCCAAGTCAGTTGCATTTTTCCCCCAGAAGTGTATACCTATTGTAATTATAAAAATAAGGGTGCTCATACGTTTGCAAGATTAGAGTCCTGCATAGAATGTCCTATAGGTCAAAGAACCTCAAGTAGGAAAAAATTAAGGTTAACAAAAAATCCCATAATGCATCCATTTTTGAGACACATAAATATAATGTGACTAATACATATGTATTTAGAAATAAACATCTTGGGCAGGATAAATGAGCATCAGAGCTTAGCTAAACAAACAATAAATATTTTTTAACTTTAAAAAATCCTTAACATTTTTTCTCCAATATTTTTAATCACATCGGAACATTTTTCTCCCAATAGCTTTAATCATATTAAATCTAAGGTAATATAATAAAAATGTTATTTTATTAACCCACAGTTCATATATGTCAGCTTGCTTGCCTGCTTGCCAATGCTTCTTGGTGAGATAAAAATAATTCTAAAAAATGATTTTTAAAATGATGAATGTATAATTGTACCTTTTATTCAAACCATTTTATCTTTTACAAATACTTTGCATTGTCTCCAAGATAAATTACAAAGCACCCTTACGTGGTTTATAAACTTGATTTCAAGATAAATGTACATATGCTAGCAATCTAATATGTAATCTGTGTGTACTAGGGCTTGATTGATTTGTATGTAGAATAAATTACATCATAAGGAATATACTTTATATCAAACAGGAATATGCTTTATATCAAACAGTATCAATCTAAACAGAATTGTTGAACAGACACTGTCTCTGATAATGTGAAAAAAATCCATTGAATTATACTTATTTTATTATTGACTTCCTTCCAAGAGTTCTAAGTATTTTAATATGTTTTGTTAGAAATGATGCAACATTTATTCATTGTTTCATGGTTTTCCTGATCTGGAACAAGTTAAGAATGTTCTATGAATTGGTCCTGCTCATGCCACTACTTCCCTCACAATACCTTTACAAAATGGATTTTTAGAATTCACTCTAGTAAAGAGGCTCAAGTGTTGCACCAGCTCTAGGATTCTCTAACCAAATCCATTCCAGATTGTGAGTAAAAATATCATCCTATGTAACCTTAGACATTCTTATAATTAAGCATTAAATGTGAGAAAAGATAAGGAAGTGGTATTATAAATGATGCTGTATTTCAGTCAATATTTCTTTCAAATTGCCCCTCCTTGTTTCTTTAAACAGCTTCATTCTATATATGGAGAGATAGAAAATGAGACTATTTTGTTTATGGTCTATAATCTCAAAAGAGTAAAGATTAGCATGAATTTATTCTACTGAATCCATACTTATCTGAGCCTATGTACCCTAGTATTCACTTTTTCCTGCTCTTGAAATTCCTTTTTCTCACCTGATCTCTTTTACTTAATTAACAATACTTTTATTCTTTAAGAATCAAAGCTACCCTTCCAAAAATTAAAAATGAAGTTAAAACTGTTATGTTTACAAATATTTTTATTATGGTCTATGTATTTCTAGGCCACTTACAAAAAAAACCAAATTTAACATAAAGAAAACATTAATTGGCAAATTAAAAATAATGAATTCAGATTAAAAATTAAAATTCTGGGAAAATAAATTAGTAATTGCCTGTGTTGCAATTATAATAGTTTAATGTAAGCATTTCAGAATTTAAATTGCACCTCAGTTTGAAAGGCAAATATCATCTCCAAAGTTAAGGATAATTTTTAATATTTTTGTAATGTTAATTTGGGGAAAATATCATTATGGATAACTATAATAGCGAGAGAATTCACACTGTTTGCATAATATCAAATAATTATAATTATAAATCCTGCAATTATAATTATGAACGTGTGTATGTTAAAATTTGCAGTGTTCTTCCCATAAAAAGGAGTATAAAAGTATTTATAAGGAGGATTTTCTTTTCTTTATAATTTCAACACTCAATTGTAGAGATAGAGAACACTTAAAAAGTTGCTTGTTTTTAAATAATTTTAAATATTAAAGCAATGTCATGCACATATAAATAAAATCACTAAGTCAGTGGGCTAATAGTTTATGGAATCACTGACTCATCACTGACTGATCATTTTTTTAGAATCAAGTTATATAGATTCTCTTTTCCTCTAAATGAATAAGAACCAAAAGTCCAAATCAGTATCATATGTAAAATGAGTATCAAGAATTGTTGCTAACTGACAACTTCTCTTTTAAACCATTAGTCCCATTTAAACAGCATCAATAACGGTACAAAAACTTAAATACAAATCTCCCTGGATATGAAAAAAAATTGAAATAATCTAAAATTGAATACAAAAAAATCTCTGCCATTATTTATGTTTAGAAAGTCATGCCATATTTACTGAAATGTTAATTTCCTATTAACAACCAAAGAATCAAAACAATCATTTTAAAAACTCCAGTTATGTGCTATGCCACAGTTTAATCAGCTCATGCTATGCAGTATTTTCAATAGAAACGCATGGATTCTGTTTTATAATTACCCTGAGAAAAACAGGCTGTAAGCTGATAGTTAATTTTAAATAATAATAAATGCAGCCATTATCTATTTTTATTCCCGTAGACTTGTCTGAAAGAACCTTAAGATGTGTACCAGTCTTATTAAGTTTTCAAAATAGCATTAAATGTTTTGTTATGGGGGATTTCCATGTGGTAGTCATAATGTAAGTAAGGCTTGTGATTTTCTTTTTGTATGCAGAGCAATACCTTGAAACAAAAGAGACAGTATGCACTGAAGAAACTAGTCACAAAATTGGTAAAATAGGATAATGCAAATACAACAAGAGGCCTTTGAATCCCAAAAAGTTAAACCAACACATCTAAAGGAAATTTTGCTTGAGCAAAACATGGGAATTTGTGATTTATTTATGATGGGAATTGGCAGGTATACCTATGAAATTTTAAACATACATACATACATACATACATACATACATACACAGACAGACAGACAGACAGACAGACATAGAAATAGATATATTTGTGCATCCCTATAAATTTGAATGGTACATTAACCACACCTGCATTAGAATATGGAATGCAAAATATGTTACCTATTGCCATGGGAACATCCTAATCATGGTGGAATCCATGATCCCTTCAAAACTAATGAAACACTTATCACTAAATGAACTGGGTAGAAGTTCCACTAAATTGAACAGGGTTGACTCCCCAAAGCAGCCTGAATTATTTTGTAAAGCAACATTTATTCAGTGTCCTTGCCATCTATTTATAATAGGACTACTAAAAATATGAAATAAACAAATAAACAACAAAGATCAAATGATACCTGAGGTTTGTACAAAATAATTAATGATGAATTCACACATCCACAAGAAAATAGCAGATATTGCTGTTTGTAAATCAATTTAGTTATTCACCAGTAGGCTTCTACCAAGTTAGTTTAGTTATTTAGGGCAACCACAAAAAAATGTTTTCTTTAACTCAAGTTCTCTCATGGACATATTGGTGCAGTTTTCTTGGAGGTATTTTGCCACTGCCCTCTTCATTTCACCTTTCTAGTAAAGCCTACAATAAAGGAATTTCTTTGGCCACCCCTCCAAATATCAGTCAGGACACTCTGCTTTTCATGATTGGCTAAGTGTTGAAAAGTCAACAAACTGAGTAGTCATATAAATAAAAAAATCTAAATCCCTTATAAAATCCACTTTGAAATTTACAAAAGTGACTTAAGGGGAATTGCGTTAGCAGTCCACATCCACTCACTCAAATTCTAGCAAGAAACAGGTAATATCTCTCTTGAATGTGCCTCATAATTTGATTTTTAATGTTTTATAACATTTTTCTAATTACAATATTTTTCTAACCACCTTTGCAACCAAGATGGTTCATAAAAATAATCAAACTGTCAACTTGCCTTAATGTTTTCATAATTATATGTTCAATTCAACTAATGTAGTCATAATAGTTTAATTAGGAATACAGTTTCAAAAGATAGGTAAGTAGAGTTAGATTAGATAGATAGATAGATAGATAGATAGATAGATATAATTTGAACATGTCTTACTCTCCCGATTCTCAAGCATACTTCTTTCTTGTTAAGTTCGCTTATTATATGAATTAACTTTATCTGCAAACCTAAATGCAAATGAAGCAGGATACAATCATAGAATGGTACCTTTATTAAAAAATCAGTAAAGTTTAATATTTGCAGAGTATGAGTGAACTCAAGAAAACTGTACTGTATGAAAATTTGCCTTGCCTTTTAATGTTCTACATAAATCTAACCTATTAGACAATGATAAATGATAGCTGTAATGTTTTAGACAATGATAAATGATAGCAAAAATATTTATATTTTTCAGAGAAAAGAAAATAAGAAAATATGGCCATTTATAAGAGATTTGTAGGTTATGACGTTCTGCCAGCATATAAAATAGACTAAGAAATATTATGTAAATAATAACAGCCAGACGCAAGAAAATCAAAGGAGATATTTAACGACAGTTATCATTTTTAATTTGCAATGGCTTTTGAGGTGTAGGATATATTTTACCATTCTGAACGTATAAAATTTTTTGCTCATAAATTCAGTTCCAAAGTTGCAGAACGAAAAACAAAAGGCCTGTTGCGTGCTTGGAGGAACCTATTGAGCGTTCAGAGCCACGCTGTTTGAATCATTTTCCGGGCCGATTCCATATAAGAATCGAAAGTAAGATTTCGATCCTCCTCATCTATTGCATCGCGACCGCGATCCTTTAAAAGGTTAAAATGTAAGATATGTAGCCAGACAAGTCTTTTTTCACCGAGAAGAAAAGGAAGATGGCTGACCTTGTATTTGAGATAGGAAATACAACACTACCGGAGAGCTTAATGGAAACGGGCGGATGGGATCGCAGGGAAAGGGTTTAGGGTTTTAGTACAGGCAGCCCACAACAAGGAAGCAGAGCCGGAGTCAACCATCCGGATCTGCAACAATCGGCCGCCGCCGCTACCGCTTTCCTTCGGCTGCAGGATCAGCTGAGCGCGGCTATCACGTGGGCGGCGTGTCGAAGGTCACAGCTCGGCTCACAATGGAGCTTTCGGAGCCTGTGCAAAGCGGCTTACAGATCCTGGCTGATCCGGGTAGCTTCTCGCTCCGAGCTTTCCAGGCTCTGCTCCAGGCTGCCTTCCAGAGCTTGCTCAATGGACAGGCCGAGGAGGCCGTTTTCGGTGAGTGCTAAGATCCGGGCTCGATCTTCCGGCCGCCGGCGAGGAAGAGAGCTGCTCGCTCTCTGAAAGGGGACTTGGGCTCTTGTCGAGGGAAGGTGGCGGAGGAGGCTGTTCCTGCACGGCTGGTCGCTCTTGCTTCGGCGCTGCTCTGATCCTGACGCCTGGGCTGCTTCTCTGCGGCGGCCACCACAGCCGTTTCCCGTCAAATGCAGGAAGTCTCCCCCGTGCTGCGCCGGGCTCAGATGGTGCACTGCGCCCTCGCCCTCCTTTTGTTTCTTTCGGGGTTTTGCTCTCATTGCTGGTTTCCTCCATTTCCCTGCGGTTGTCACTTCCTTGCAAAATGCAAGGGTGCCTCTCGTTTTTTTTATGGCCTAAAAGCGAAGGTAAAGCCTCCCGCTCTCCCGAAAGCAGACCGAGAGAAGAGAAGGTGCCATTTGGAGAGCGTTTCCTTCGACTTTCTTGGCGGTCGTGGTCGGTTGGTTTTTACTGTTTTGTTTTCTGATCCGGCGAGGTACATTGACAGTCGGAAGTAATTCTTGCAAAAAATCAAAGCAGCAAGCGGGTGGATATACTTGAGGAAAGCACCGAGCTGGGTTTGGGACCTGGATCCCGCAGGCTTTGTTTTGTTGATCATGTGATAGTGTGATATTATTCTTTCGAATTGTTCACTGGCAGTAATAAATGAATCGTTCTTAATCTCGCCGCTGAAAAGCGCCGCTCATTTGTTTTGATGCTTTTGTTTCTCGATTTTTTGTTTGTTTGCTTCTTCAAATCGAAATTCTCCGGCGATTGGGCTTCGTCAGCTGCTTGCCAAACTGCGGGGCTTGTTGTGGGTAGGCCGGCCGTCTTTCGCAAGAGAAAAACGGCTCGAGTTTGCCTGGAGAAGAGCTCTGCGGGAGCTGGGGCTGAATACGCGCGCGGCCTCCGATAGGTGCTCGCTTGAATTGCAACTTTGGAAAAGCAGTTCGGATTTCTTAAATGGGACGCGGCGAAAAAAAAGGAAAAGAAAAATCAGAAAAGTTGAGCTGTGAAGGGGGAGGATTAGAGAGACGGTGTTTTGAGCACTATTGTTTAAAAAGCGAAATTACACACTTAACTCCCTCTAGCACTCAGAATTTTTTTTTACAGGGTTATCTAGACTTGGAGAAAGTCTCCTCCTTAGTTCGCAAAATGCTTTTTACTTTTCTTCCTCTCCTCCAGAGCGACAAGATCGCAATTTTCTGAAAATATAAATGTCTACTGACATTCATCAATCTTCCCAAATTCTGTTTGCCAGAATTCAAGGAATGGATGGCAGTGAGTGGGAAAATACAGGAGACACTCCTGGGGTAATGATTGAGTTCCATTCCTTTCTTCTGTACTTTCTGGCTGTTGGGGATAAATCGAGATCTAGTTGTTGCTAGAAATAACTAATATCATGTTTCAGATCTTGGGGAAATTTTTCACATTTGAAATGAAATGAACCTCAAATTCCAATATTTTAATTTCTTATAAAGGGAGATCTATGAAAAGAAATCCTTCCACCAATATTGTGTTTAGAATGGTAACTGTAAATTGTGTCAATGTAATAGCTTTCTGTTTGCTCAGCTGCTACAATTGCATGGATGTGTGTGTGTGTGTGGGTGATATTCTATCTATCTATCTATCTATCTATCTATCTATCTATCTATCTATCTATCTATCTATCTATCTATCTATCTATCTATCTCCTCCTGACATATGTCATCAACCATTCATTTATTTTTAGATTACCCAGATTTGGAAAATATTGACCCAGCAATATTAAAATACTGCCACGCAGCAACTACCACTTGTATAATAGAAGCTGGAAAGCAAAAAGCTGACCAATCTATTATAAGGTATCCTAAAACTCTTCAACTTAAAAAAAAAAGTGTTTGACTTATATTAGATTTATTGGTTAACACATCTTACTTTTCCTTTTAGTACCTATCTCGAAGACTGTAAACTTGGCAGAGAAAGAATTGAAAAATTTTGCACTGAATATCAGGTTTTCAAACACATTTTATCTTTTTAATACCATCCATTAAATTTTGTGTAATCTGTACTGTTGATATGCTCTATTTTTATCCTTTTCCTTTTTGTAGAAACATAAGGATACCTTGGAAATCATATTGGGAAGGTATGTCCAAGGAAGTTATAGTGATCGTCCAACTTTTAAATGCATCTTAAAGTAATAAATGTATTCACAAGTTATCTAATTGGGGTAACTTAGTCCATGAAACCCCAATTAATACATTGCTCTTACTGGTGTTTGTTATCTGTAAAATCTCACAACAGTTTTGTGGTTCAACATATCTTAGCCTAATAGATATTCATTATGTTTTCAGTATAGGCAGATGTCCACTACATATAACTGATGTTTGTTGGCGTTTGGAATATCAAATAAAGGTAATTTAAATAAAATGTGTATTAATTTTCTTTCTTTTTAATTTGCAAAACTTACTTTTTCTTTATGTCTTATCACTTTAGACTAATCAACTTCATAAAAATTATCGCCCTGCCTATTTGATGACCTTAAAAGTGGAGGTATTACATAAATCCAGAAATTCAAATATTAGTAGATCATGATTGTTTTAATTTTTGTTACTTATTAGGAACTAATGTTTGGGATTTTTGTTATTTTAGAATAATGATTCAAGATCTCATCAGGACATTAATTTTAGTTGTTCTATGGAGCAATTGCAGGTATTTATCCTCCACTTTTTGTGTACTGATTCTGAGTAGTACCAAACCTTATAAAAGTCCCCCCCAAAAAAAACCAAAGTCTAATCTTTCAAACTATAAATTGCTACAGAAATACTAGCTTTTCTACTTTTTCAATGATATTTCAATATTAAATATCTGCACCACACAAAAATATTATTTTTAGCAGAATGCGTGGAACCTCTTTCAAATGTGTTAAATTAGATGAACTTCATTTCCTATATTATATACTTGAATGTGTAATTTAATATGAGAATGGAATTTGACTTATTTGGCTTTATTTAAATTACATTGATATCTGAATCTCCATTATCCACAGCTAATTTATTCTAAAATCAAAGCAACTAATCTGAGAATAATTAATAATATGAAGTTGCAATATCATGCATTAGAAGTAAGTTTATTAGTAAGCTAATAAACACCGATAACAAAAAAGGAATAAATTAGTCAAAATCAGAGAAATTAAGAAATAAGCAACTGTGTACAATTTCATATTTTTTCAAAAAAAATTTGTGTGTGTGTGTGTAAGAATTTGTTGTTTTCTGTTATTTGACAAATAAGAAAAAGTTTGTATTAGTTACTTATTAACCTATTTGCCCCGGTTTAAACTCCTTTATTTTGTATGTGATAAAGCACATTCATGATATACTCTATCAGAAAGATGTTTCAGTATTTCTTTAAAATATCAATGGCAAAAATGCATTCTTAAATCATTGGAAATTTTGGTATAAAGAAAACTTCTAATATTGCATAGAATTAGTTATTTATAGCAAAATATTTTTTCTTAGGCTCTTATTCTATGTTTTAGGATTTAGTGGGAAAGTTAAAAGATGCAGCTAAAAGTCTAGAAAGAACAACTCAACTATAATTACAGACTTGACAATCAACTGGATTGAAGAAGAAAAGAAAATGCTTGCTTCTTTGACTATATGACGAACTTTTTTATTGGTTTTATTTAATGGAACTGTGATACATGTTTGACAAAATAGAAATTGATTTTTTATTTTCTAAATAACATTACAAGTTTGTGTGCAATAAAAACTGTTGAGCTTGTTTAACTGTAGCATATCTTTTTAGTTAACTGTAAACTTAAAATATCTGCTTGTGTTTCAGTTTTGCCCTTTTCAAAAAATATATCTTTAATTTTACCATTTTTTACTTTATCATCTAATAAATGAGAATATAAATCTGATTTGTGTGTCTTATCTGATTATAATAATGAGTTGGGAGGGATTGGATTCCCAGGAGTTACATTATTCCCAGAAGACCTGCTCAACAACACCCATGTTAAAGAGGTATATAGAGTTCTGGGTTTAAAGTCATTCTATTGTAACAAAGTTATCACTTTGCTTGCACCTCATTTGGTGAAGGCCAGTTCCTGCTGTTCCTCCCCCTTTTTATGTTGGAATTATTTACATGAAAATTTGAGAAGGTCTATTCATTCATGTCCTTTAACTTGGCTTGACTTATTAAATATTCAATCATTTCTGTAAATAGAAAATTGTTGGAGTGTTCTGAATTGCAGCAGTTGAGTGGCTATAAATAGAATATGACCAGTCTTGTCTCCATGGCTCTGTTCTTCCCAAAACAAAAAATCTTATCCCCAAGTCACAGTGTCGGTTGAACTTATTAATTACACACCTAGCCAAGAAGAGAGGCAGCAGTGTCAATCTGGTGTATTTGGAGGGTGGGATGCACAAAGTTCTCATTTTCCTCCCATCTTCTATGTGCTTTTTGCTATGTGGAAAGGATGGGAAATCTAAAGGAGGAGACAGCTGTGAGAATTATCCCAATAAGGATGCAGAGGCAAAGGAATTAAAACTTGTCGTATGGTGCCACCAAGTTAGAAAAATCTCTCTATATACATTGGTCTTAACTCTGTGGTGTAGTACAAAATATATTCTGAGGCACAAAATGTGGCTTGCAAGGAGGTAGAAGGAAACTCAGCACCCTAGCTCTGATTCTGTTACTTTTTAACAACAATAATTCTGCCACATAAAGGTTGCTTGCTTAATAACCTACCATCTACTGCAATTGTCCCACTAATTAACCATAGTGAGAAAAGTATTATTGTCCTCATCTTCATAGCCATGAGGGTGTGCAAGCAACGGAATGCCTTAACCTAAAGGAATGCCTTAACCTAAACTTCAATCTCTGGGCAATAGCCACCCTTGAAAGTTTAAAGTCCGGGGCATTTGGAGGGAACCACACCTATAGCACAGTAGCAAGAAAGTATTCATATTTTTTTACTCCTTAACAGGATTTTTTTAATGGATGGGAAGAACAAAGTGGAAAAATCTTTTTAACCTTGGGTCATTTGAAACCATGAGATAGTCTGGGGATAATGGATTTTCTTTCACTAAATATTTTGCTCAGTACCACCACTCTCTTTTCTATTTCCTATTTTGCTAGGCAGCTTTCCATAAATTGTTGCCTTCCAGCTGTATTTTATATCAAGCCGCCTATATGTTTGCAGGGAATGGTGGAGACTGAAATTCCAACACATTTGAGGGAGAGTGACAGGTCAGAAAAGACTATTAAGGAAATACATTTTCTGGTCTATCGTGACCAAGCGACAACTAGTCCTTATAGTGGTCCCAGTTACATTCTATTCAGAGTGCTAAGCCGTTCCTATATACTCCCCCCCCCCAACCTAAACACAAGGCAGGGAAAGTCTATAAAAGTGGTAGGACCTACTTTTCCGTTTGACTGCTGCATATGTTGTTCTGAAGTTGAAAGTTAATCAAATCTTGGATTGAACAAAATTGTACAATGAAATCTACAGCATGATCCTGACCTGGATTTCCTTCTCTGGTGGAGGTTTGACACATGTGAAATAATGCTTTCCAGGAATATTTCCTTTCCTTTTCCATCATTTTCCTGGAGATGAATATAAGGATATTTTTTAACCATTGTCTTCAGTTTCCCGATCTCTGCAGGATCTCAGAGTGGCAATATTGTGTCCAAATTAACACATTCATATAGATCAAAAAAGCCCTCTTTCATTAGAGTCTCTTTTGGATGGCTGGTTGCAGATGATACTTTTAATATAAGTAAATGGTTGACAACAGGATGATAGTGTTTGTCAGGATGCTTGCCAGGCATGGAGGAACAAGGCAGGTTATTAACTTCAAAGTGAGTTTGACAGCAAATCTTTCAGAAAAGTGGATTAATCCCAGTGTTCTCCAATACAGTTCTTTGTCATTTGGTCATTTTCTGATGCCGGCTTCCTTCCTATAATAACATTCCACTCTTCATCCACCCAGGAACCTAAATATACATCCCATGAAGATCTGCCAAGATGGAAGAAAATGGTGTCAGTCAGGAGCCCCACAATTTCCAATGGTGGCACCTTAGAATTGTGGAGACTAAGAGTTGTCCAAAATGAACCAACTTTCTAGAAAAGGGGATGCCTATAGGGTTGCTTGCTTCTCAAAAGGTGGTCAATAGTGTTAACAACTTAGTCCTTCAATCTTGGGCAGAAGAAACTGAAAGATCTTGAGGGGTTCGGAAAGCTTCTAGTTGGTTCTTATAGACACAAAAGGACAATTAGACTAGCTAGACTATGCTACCGCTAATTAGTCTCAAAATTGGTGCCTCTACTTAGATTCTACTATGTGCTAAAAGAGCAAAGGAAATGTAAGAGCACGAAAATTTTGTAACCAAGAATGCGGGTCAGACAGCCAAAGACCACGGAGCGGGCTTTGTGAAGTGTGGCAACTGTGTGAGATGAAATTGCGAAGGTGTATAGAGATGTCTGAGAAATTTGGAAGACTGCCTTCACCTACAAGTCTTCTAGAATCAGCTGTACGAGACGCGAGGTGCAAGAGTTCTGTGATGAACTAAATCTATACACTGAAGGAAAGCGCGGAGAAGGCGTGTCCAAAGGCAGGAATTTTTTTACCGAGAAAATGTGTGCCAGGACACCTTTAGAGGCTGGATGGGGCTTACGAGGGGGTGGGGGGTATGTGGGAGTAGATATGGCAGTAGGTTATCTCTGCGAGAGATTTCAACACAACAAAAAAAGTGGGGAAATAAAAAGAGCGAAGTTTTTTTGAGGCGGTGAAATAAAACGCTAGACCTTATTGGCTGAAAAAAATCCAGAGTACTCGTTCGCTGCACTTTGAGAAGGGGCAAAAAACGGAGGAGGGAAGAGGGATGAGGTAGTATGCAAGAGAAGGGAAAAGAAAACAGGCACCTGAGGAAAAACGAGACTGGGCTTGGACTTGGGGAGGGGGAGAAAAACCGCTCCCAGGAGAAGATAGATGTATGTAGAAGGGAGAGTTTGGTTCTGTCAAAGTAGCTCGAATCCCTCCAGCGTGAAAAGGTTGTGTGGTTCAGAAGGAACAGAAAGGACTCGGAGATCTTGGACCAGGTAAAGGACTAGGGGAAAGGGAGGCGTAGTGCTGAGCTGAGCCAGAAGAGTGGGGGGATCTGCGCCGGGGCTGGAGAAGTCGCGCGCACCTGGGAATCCGCGGCCGGATGCCAAAGCGGGAAAATCCGCTCTAACGGAAAAAGGAGCGAAGGTGGAAGGGCCGAGATGACGCTCGGGATTGACGGTTTCAGCTGCCGGTTACCAGCCCAACTTCTATAGTCACCATTTGGACTGCCTCTCTAACATTTCTGAGGTGCCTTAGCACTGAGGTGCCCAGGAAGACGTGGAAGGTGGAGGAAGAACGCTCGACCGAGGTCAGTGTTATGGGACAGTCTAGGTGAGGGCGAGAGCAAACCGTCGGTCTGGGGGCAAAGGAGAGGCTCGGGGGAAACTGGAATGCCACACAATACTATTAAAATGGTGGGCAACCTTTTTCAGTCAGTGTGTGTGTGTGAGTGAGTGTGTGTGCGTGTGGCGCGCGAGCCAGTGTGAGTGTGTGTGTGTGCGTGTGTGTGAGTGCGCGCGCGCGCCGCGAAGGAGAGGCAGGCTGTAGGAGAAAGGATCAGAGCAGCTTCAGTAGCAGAGGCTCGAGGTGGAGAGACCGAAGCCAAAGGTCTGTCTGTGGTTGCCGTCACTTTATTACGCCTTTAAAAGAAGGGGGTGGAGGTAAGTTTTTGTATGAAAGGGGCTGATTTGGGAAAGAACAAGAGAGGGGAGAAAGGGGGCAAACGGAGATCTCTGCGTGCCCTTGTTCAGCGAGAAAGGGATTGCTCGCGCGAGGTGACAGGGCGTGTAAAATCTGGAGAGAGGAATGAGCGCCGTGTCTGTGTGTGCGTGTGTGTGTGTGCGTGCGTGTGGCGCGGGGTAGGTGTGCAAGCTAGAAGCGGGCGAGGGGGGCAGAGGAAAGGAATAAGGCATTGTGCGCGCGTGAGTGAGTGCGCGAGGCGTGTGGTGGGGGGAGGAAGAGCGGGAGGAGGTGGAACAGGCAGCCGCGTGAGTGCCGCGGAAAAAAGGAGGACTAGCGAAGTATGTGCGCGCGCGCGTGTCTGGAGGAGGGGGAGGCGGAAGAGCAGGCGGAGGGCAGGGGGAGGGGGAAGGGAGGGCGGCGCAGGAGGGGGGAGGAGGCGTCCGAGTCGCGGGATTGGGTCACAGGGAGGCTGACGGCTCCGACTACACCGACACTAATTCCCAGGCCACCCTTAAGGAATGAGGAGTCTCACGTGACGCTGGCGGGGCGGGCGAACTCTGAGCCATTTTGGCTACGGTGTCAGTTTCCACTGTGCGCCTTCATTGCTGCGTTCCCTCCACCACCACCACCACCCGCTTCTCCACTACCTCCACCTCCCCGCCTGCTCCTTCCACAGCAGCAACTCTGATACAATTCAAATATCTCCATATTATCATTATTTTTACAAAGAGGAAAGTGGAGAGAGAGAGAAGAGAGAGAGGGAGGGAGGGAGGGAGGGAGAGAGAGCTCCCCGGAAGACAGGAGAGGGAAAACACAAGACCGGGGCGGGGAGGGGGGCACCGATAGACGGAGCCGGGAGGAGGGCTTGGAAGTCGGAGAGACAATGGGCTGGTGGTGGTGGAGGAGGAGGAAGAGTGGCAGTCCAGACGAGCCGGAAATAATTTAAGAGCCCAGCACTGGAGCTGCGTGTTTTAAAGAAGGAGAGAGAGAGCAGCCAGCCAGGAGTGGGGAGGAGGGTGAGCGAGCGAGGGGGGGGGGGGGGGGGGGGAGAGAAGAGAGAGAGAGAAAAGAAGACGCAGAAAGGAAGAGGAGGGGAAAGGCAAGCAGGCTCGCAGGGAACCCGAAAGAGAACCGCCCGGCTGTTTCGGGAACTAAAAGGAGATCGGCGCGGCGGGGACGGCAACAGCGACGGCGGCAGCAAAACGCTGATTGCAACTGACAGCGCCTGCAGTTCGTTTCAAGATGGCCGCTTGGCTCACATTCATTTTCTGCTGAACGACTTTTAACTTTCATTGTCTTTTCCCGGCAGCTTTGGTCGCCCCCCGGCAGCGTCTTTCCGCGGGTAGGTGTGCAGGGGCGCTCTTTCCAGCCGAGGTCGGAGGGTGATGGGGACTTCGCGGCGTGTTTTGGGGAGGGGGGGGGGCTTTTTAAAGGCTGCGAGGGGGAGCTTCGGTGTCCCCATGCTCTCCGTATGGGAAAACCGCTGACAGTCTCGGCTCCAGCCACAAGCACACGCGATTCGTCCCTCGCGCGCGCGCCTGGTGCGGGCGGCAGTAGCAACCCAAGCGCTTGGTTTCATTCCGCAACCAACCCTTTGCGAATTTTCGTTCCCTTCCCACCGGAGCTAGTTCATAGAGCCCTCCTGGGTGCACAGCCCTGAAGGAGGACGTCTGTATTTTCGGTTGCGACCGGCCATTCAAGTCCAGCCCTCTTTGTTTATAGGCAGATTTCGATTGAAGAGCGACGTTCGTGCAATCTTGAGCTGCCTGGGTCACGGGATGGCGATCGCCTGCGAAACAAACGGGTCGGCGGGGGGTTCAGGAGCCACCTAGCGCTCCCATTTTATAGGGATGGGTTCCAGGGGAGGTTGCGATCCCGCTGGAGGGTTCGCTGAGCTGTTGGAGGTTTCCGGAGAAATGTTATTAACTTAAGTTCGGCCAACACTTGTGTGGCGTGAGATGGCTTGGTAAGATGGCGGTTCTCTCTTAGCGTGCCCTTTCGCATTTGTGCTTAAAATGCTGAAGTTTCTCCCGGGCTTTGGAAGAGAGGAGAGAAGTTGACGCTGGAAATCTAGCTTCGATGAGAGAAGTTACCGCGTGTTTATTTCTCGGAGTTCTTATATCCAGATTGAACATGCGGATAATTGAGGGAGCTGAATTAATAGAACTTGCAAGCACTCCGACTGCAGCTTTCTATTATTTAGCCAAGATTTCGCCTCTCCCTCACATATCTCATCCTTCCAAGTTGAATAAGGCTAAGTTAACTGAAACGTCTTGTTGTCCCAGATGTGATGGCTTTGGTCCTGGCTCTAAGAGTGCCTGGGTGGAAACTTGATTTGTGTAAAATCTCGCCGCCTTGATAAAGTAGATCCTGCTCCAGCTCAGCTGGTTTTGTTGTTTTAATGCCTGGTGGGAAATAACTCGGGGGCACTTAATCCAATCTCTGTCCCTGTAACCTTTCTCCCCAAATGGAAAGTTAACCATGTGGTTCACAAGCCTTCCTCATCGTCCCCTTGAGTTTTTGTTAGCCTCCCACTATTCAATGCTTGTTTGTTTCCAATCGTCTTTCTTGGCATTCCAAAAATATAACTTTGAACTGTAGGGAAAGAATGATTGGTGTAGCTGTGTATTTCTCTGCTCTGGTCGCTGTAAATTAGAACTAATCTTTTAATACTACAGTTAGTTGGTGCTGTGCTTCCCCACCCAATGAATTCAGCATTTACCCATCCAGAAAGGAACTGCCTTTGGGGAGACTAACTGGAGAGGTCTATTCCCTGGATGAAGGAGTTTATCTGGAGAAAATATGGATTATACTAAACATATCTATTTCTTTCTTGGCTGGGACTCCATGGATCCACACTTTTGAGTGAGTCCCTCATGATTCAGGGCTCACCTTTAAAACTGGGCACCTAATGACAATTCAAGGCATAGTGGACCAGATTACAGATCTGCCTCTGCAAGCCTAGTTATTTTAGGTAGTCTTGGTGAATTGCCTCCTTAGGTATCTAGAGCCTATTAATTCCATCCACTCAACTATCCATAATTTTCTAAGTTGACCATGCAAAGCTGCCAAGCTTCACCTGGGAATGATAGGTTTTATCTGTCCCTGTTTTCCTGGTTGGATACATGCCTAGGAAGGCTGTGTGTGAAAATAAAATATAACATCTGATGTTAAAGGTCATTGGGTCTTGGCTACAGAAAGGTATACCATTATTGTAAGGAGGTGGGAGACTTCAGGAGATAACAGGAGGGAATAACAGCCCCTACTCCATCCCAAGTTAGTACTTTGGGTACTTGAGATACCTGTTTTGTTTATGAGTGTATATAAACGAGTGCATGGGAGTTGATGGCATCTTTCACTCATCTGTAGCTTTGATTCAGGATTGTTGGTTTAAGAATTCAATTGATACCTCCAAGGGGATTCTGGGGGAGGGAGCTAACTTAGGTAATAAATAATAAGCTTTAAGTAACAAAGCTTCACGCTTGATTTGAGTTTTCTTCTACTTAGGCAGAGGCTCTGTTTCCCTGAAATGAAACATGTGTTTGTATCTTCTGATGAATTGAGTTGCCTCCTTCTGTGCCTCACTGCTTGGGAAATAATTTAAGTCCACTCAATTGCTCGACCCTTTCTAGTCTACCTTTTGGTTGAAGTACCCTGGATTTACTGCATCTTAATTTGAACAGATAGACGTGTTTTATCACAATAGTGATGATGGTACTGATGAGGACTTCAATTACCTTCTAAAGGGTTGGGGTGAAGAAGTATATCCTTTATTTATGTCCTGAAGAATGCTCTGGAACCAGAAGGAGAGGCCAGGCGTGGAGGCTCCGGTTTTCCTTGCCAACACCCAGTTCTCGGCTAAGGTTATCGAACCTCTCCTTCCCCTTCTACTCCAAACTTGTATATCTCCCCCCCCCAAAAGATAAAAATAGCAATTTACTCCATGCAACAACGGCATCGTTCCGTCTCTGTTTCTTCTTCCCTTTCCTTTTTTCCCCCATTTTGGGGAAGGGGTACGTAGAACAAGTGAAGTTTTGGTAGTTGGTTTTGTAGCGAACGATCCAAGTTGTCCCCTCTCCATCCCTCTTCCACCTATCCTCGCGCCTTTTGGAACATCGGACAGAAATTCGAGACTCTTTGGGAAGCGTCGGAATATTTTGCCTTGATTGCCGTGCGTTCAGAGCAGAACAAGGAAGATGCGCGGTGCGGGAATGAAACCTGTTCGAACTTTCGGCTGAGCACAACCTCCCCACTTCCTTCCCGCCCACTGTAAATTTTTCCTTGCCGGGCGGTGGAGCGTTATGCTCCGCGTGAGGATTTCCTCAGACAGTTTTGCTTTGCTCTCTTCACTTCCCGGCTACAGCCCGAGAGTCGCGATACATTTGCAGCATTTCTGTGGATCTGCGACTTGGCAAGCTTGGACTGCCGGAGCGAAATGTCGACGGGTGCTACGACTCTCTTGAATCCGGCAAAGGCTGGCGCTCCTTTAAAGTCTCTACCACTCTGAAAGGGGCCAACTTTTAACTCCGTGCCTTGGCGATCCAAAAGGCGATAAGGTTGTATGGCGCTGCGGACAGGAGCCGCGTGGCGGAGAAGGGGAAGAAACAGTGGCCACTTTCTTGCCTGTGGCCGACGTGGATGAAGGCCCCGAGAGAAACCGAAAGCCCCTGGAGGAGCCTCTTGCTTTCGGTCTGGCATCGACTCCAGAGCTGACTCGGGCCGCCCTCAAGGCCTCCTACTGCCAGCCCGCTTTTGGCGTTCTCCTTTTCTCTCCCTGCGACGCGTCCTCCCGCCCAACTGGACTGCTCCGAGGGGAATTTTGGCCCCGCCAGTAACACCCGACCAGGATCCTTCCCCCGGATTTCATCCCTGGACACGAACCGGGTTCCTTTCCACAGCGGTACCCCCGGCCCGTCCTTCTCCCCCGCCATCCCCTGCTTGATCCCTGTCAAGAAACTGGACATTCTTCCGCGGCGAGACTCCAAAGTTGCCCTCCTGTTCCCTGCGCACCCCCCTCCCGTTTCCTCTCGAAACCACCTCTTCCCAGCCTGGCCCCTCCCCGCCTCCTCTCCCCTGGTGCGCTCCGGGTGGTGGCAGGATGCCAAGTGTAAGTGTAAGTTGCTATAGCAACCCCTTCGCTAGAATGGTTCCGAAGACGGCTCGGTCCCGAGCCTCTTGGGTTGGCGTCGGCGACGCGGCTAACAGCCGTAGCAGTTCCTGGGGTCTTATCCTGTCCGCTGCTACTCGCCTGCTAGCCGTTGTTCCGAGGTGCGGGCCCCAACCGCGCCAGCAGCCACCCACCCAGCCACCCCTCCTTTGCTTGCTTCTTCCTTCGCCGCCGCCTCAACCGCGGCCACCACCCCCCTCTTCTCGCCGGAAATGCCCAGAGCAACGTCCGCGCCTGCAGTAGGATCACTTCCCCGCCTCCCGCTTGTCCGGTTCTCCGCTCCGCAATCCCGATCTGCGGTTTTCCGGTAGCGCTGAGGGTGGGGGTGGGGGGGTGAAGGCCTGTGGGTCATACCCCGAGGAGCCTCCTCCGCCCGTCCCAGGCAACTCCCCTTCTGAATATCGCCGCGCAGGGATAGGGGCAGGTGGTCCCTGGACACAGCCCTCTGGAAGGAACCCCCACTCCTACAATTGCCGCTTCCATATGCTTCCAGGCTCTTGGTTCGGCGGCTTCGCACCTCCTTTTTCTCGCCTGGACCTGATTGTTTGTCTTCCCCGAGAGAAGGCCAACTTTTAGCCGCGGGGAAGTGAGGGAATCGTGTTGGGCCGCGCCTCCGAAGTTCCCCCACGGTGTTTAAAGCGCTCTCTTTGTTTGTACATCTTTCAGAGCCTCCTCGCATTGAACCAAAATGCATCGCACCACCCGCATCAAAATTACGGAGCTCAACCCCCACCTCATGTGTGTGATTTGCGGAGGATACTTCATTGATGCTACCACGATCATCGAGTGCCTGCACTCCTGTAAGTCCTGCTTGGTTGCTTCTCATCAGGGAAAGAGGCCCGCTGCCAGCTCCCCCGCCTCCCTTGGCCCTGGTGGAGCAAGGTTTGCTCCCCAAGACTGAATTCCTTCATTGGCCATATGGCTCTTTCTTGCTGAGCAACAGCTAACTTTATTTAGGGTCTGGGTTAGAAATAACAGCTGAAAACCATGCCTTGATTCTGCTTTGTAACCTTATTTCTGCACAATTCTGTATTTTTTTCTCTTGCAGTCTGTAAGACTTGTATTGTACATTACTTGGAGACCAGCAAGTATTGTCCCATTTGCGATGTCCAAGTTCACAAAACTAAGCCTCTTTTGAACATAAGGTAGGAAAAAAGACAAATACTTTATGTCATGATTATGTCTTTTCATATATTATATTTCTTTGGGTGCAACTTCCTTGCCAATGCAAATCTTTAAAAAATGTTAGTTCAGGATACTATTTCCATAAGTATCTGTCTTGCATTTCAATTAGTCATTTTGCTTCTTTTTCTACATTAGAAGCCCTTCTTTATTCCCCTTTATCTTTCTTTTCCTACTTACAATTACAATTTGTTCTCCTTGACAGTGTGCATATTAATTTCCTGTTTTTTCCCAGCATTGATCTTTATAAATGTAAAATATTAATAAAGAAATGCAAAAGTTAAGCTCTTTTCAGAAATCTTTATTTAGTTGCATTTCATTGGCTCTGTTTATGGTTACATTTTTACAATGGTGACAGTTTAATTTGATATATTTTTACCCATGCAAAAATATAGGTAGATTAATAGCATAGATCTAAAAACTTATATAAAACAATTCAAATCTGGTTAAAGTTTAAAAATTCTCAACCAAGCTGTTTTTGGTTATGGAAAGTTGTAAAGATTAACATTAGATTTTATATTCCAGATCTGATAAAACTCTCCAGGACATTGTGTACAAGTTAGTACCAGGGCTTTTCAAAAGTAAGTAAGCATTTAGATTGAACAGCCAATGTAGTAATAGAATGTAAATTGGAAGAGATTAGTAACAAAAATATGTTTTTCCCCAGATGAAATGAAAAGAAGAAGAGATTTTTATGCTGCTCATCCATCTGCTGATGGTAAA